ACACACACACACCCTCTACTCCCTTCCCCTGCATTCTGGCAACTCCAGGGATCTGGCCCTTCTCTGATGCATGTACCTGGGTCAGTGTGTATTTTTGTTTCTCTGCTGAGCCCAGAGCCAACTTTCACCAGTACAGGACCCCAGAGGAGCCTGGCTGCTTTGTTCCAGAGGGGAAAAGAGCTTCTGTATGAACCCAACAGAGTTGGGGGGATCAAAGGCTCCTAGCTAGAATCACTGTTTGAAGTCCCTCCACTGGTGGCCGTAGCAGCCCCTGCCCTCAAAGGAAATCCACTTCAAAGAGGACACGTGTGGACAGCAGCTTGGATCATCAAACACCATCCCAAGGACACTTAGCTCTCCTAGCCCAGTTAGAGAGCAGAGGCGATGCTCAGGCAGCCCTGGTTAAGGAGTTTGAAGTTTTCTCAGCTCTGGTGGAAATGTCTCTGGGAGAAGCCCATGTTTTGACCTACAGCCAGGCAAACACTCTAGTGTCTTTTCCCCTAGGATTTAGCAGTTCTAAATCAGGTCTGGGAGCCACGGACCTTGACCTGAAGGAAGAGTGGCTGTATTGTCTGCACCGTACTCCTCTCTGTTATTGTAACTGGTGTCCATGTCTCACAAAAACAGGGAGGGACCCTTAGGGTCCAGGCAGAGGCATTCATTCAGTCCCCCACGTTTTTGTCTTCTCTTACCTGATCAGCTTTGGGAGGAGGCAGAGATGACAGTGTCCACCTTCCTTACTGCTCAGAGGCTCATAGGAGAGAAGCTGCCTAGTGATTTACTCAACCCATTCACCCTGAGAACATCCTGTCAGACTCCAGAGTTTCACCAGGCAGGTTCAGGAGGAAAGAGTGTAGGCTGAGCTCCAGATCAGGCATGGCTAGGTTTGACTCCCTTCCTGCTGCTTTAGAGCTGAGAGAAGTTAATTTCTCTGAGCTTCCATTTCCTTCTCTGTTGACAGAGGATAAGACCTACCTCACAGGAAAGTTGTGGAATACAAAGTAAGATAATGTGTTAAACCCTAGCACAGCAGCTGGGATCATCAAACACCATCCCAAGCACACTTAGCTATCCTAGCCCAGTTAGCAGAGTGGATGCCCAGGCAGCCCTGGTTAAGGAGTTTGAAAGGCTAGTTGCTCTTCCTACTCAAAGTGTGGTCTGTGGACCGACAGCACCAGCATCACCTGGGAGCTTGTAAGAAAGACAGAGAAGCTCAGGCCCAGTTCCTGCATCATTTCTTCATTATAGCCATACAGCCAAGTAATTGACAGGAACATTGTATTTTGAGAAGCATACCACGGTCACACTGAAATTCCCTGAGTTATGAAAGGGCACCTTGAACAGCTCTGGCAAGGATACCTTCTGGATTGCTGGGTCCTTACTAAGACAAATGAACAAATACTTGATTGTGCTCA